TTTTTTTGGTCAAAAAAATTTTTTTAATGCAAGTAAAAATAAAGTTTTTTAAAAAATGTCCCTTGGAGATAGTAACCTTTAACTTTCTAGTCTCTCCTTACATGCATGCATATACAAGTGAGTCAAGTCTGTTTCAGATGCTCAAGTCCTACCACCAAAATGAAAGGAAGGCACTTTAATATCTTGTTTCAGGGGAGGGAGGAGTCGTATCCTGGGTATGTTTTGAGTTCTGATAAGATAGGGGCTGCATAAAGAACTAAGAGTCCAGCCAGCTCCTCTACGGATCCCTTTCCCTACACAACCCACCTCATTTCTGTTCTCTGACCATGCTGTGCTTTCTCCTGGTTTCCTGTCCTTCTCTATACAACAATGCTCTTTCCTCCCCTTGTCACTTTTGTTATCTAATGTGATGACTCTAAACTTTTGGAATGTCGTGTTCCCAATAAGATAACTTTGACCATCCCTTCACAAACATCTACTTATTTGTTAAATTATATCCATATATTATTTAAATTCCAAAAATTATATGTTGCAAATAGAAGTGAATGTTCTGCTATTCCTGCACCTCAGTGGATCGCACTGTACTTTGGAAACCTGTTGTGAAACATACCAACAATCATGAAGATGGTACAGGACTGCCATGTGTTGTTTTGTTACATGAGTTGGTGTTGACCCAATGGCAAATAACAACAAATTTGGATAGCAGTGACCTGTGTCGTAGACCTTCAAGATTCAACTCAGGCATCCCCTCTTCCCAGTAACCTTCATGTATCTTCTGGTCCACAATTCCATAGTACTGTGTGTAGCTATATTTAAGGCCAACCATCTGTCTCCTCCACTAGTCTATGGTGGTGGTGGTGGTGTTTATGGGAGCAGAAAACCTTATCTATCTCCTGATAAGTAGCTGGTAGATTCAAACTGCTGACCTTGTGGTTAGCAGCTCACTGTGCTACCAGGGTTCCTCCCGCTAGACTGTAAATTCCTGTAAAAGGCAGGAGCTTTCTCTATCCCAGCACCTAGTAGAGTAACTGGCATAGATAAAGTACTCCTTTTTTTTTTATTTTTAATTATTTTGTTTTTGTAGTTGAGAATATACACAGCAGAGCACACACCAATTCAGTAATTTTCTACATGTACAATAATACAGTGACATTGCTTATATTCAAGTTGTACAACCATGCTCACTTTTCCAAATTGTTCCTCCACCATTAACACAAACTCACTGCTCCTAAGTTTCCCATCTCATCTTTTGAGTTGCTGTTTTCAATTTGATACCATGTAGAGAAATTTTAAATACTCAAAACAGACATTCTTTTTTCTTTTCACAAAAAACTGAAAATGAGGCAGATTGGCATAATGGCTGCAAAGTGGGTTCATAAAAATGATGGTAAGGATGGCGCAGGATTGGGCACTATTTCGTTCTGTTGTATATAGTGTTGCTACAAATCGGAGCTCTGGTAGCGTAGTAGTTACAAATCGGGCTGCTAATCTCACGGTCAGCAGTTTGAAACTACCAGCAGTTCCGTGGGAGAAAGATGAGGCTTTCTGCTCCCGTAAAAATTTATAGCCTCGGATACAGGGTCGCTATGAATCGGAATTGACTCCACGGCACATTAACAACAAACAAGTTGGAAGCAACTCAATGGCACCGAGCAAAAACAAAGTCTATACTAAGAACTATTTAAGAAGACTTCAAGGAATATTTTTGTTTTAGGCTTAAAGGTTTAAAGATTATCTCAGAGCAATCATTTTAGGGGCTAATTCAGCCCCCAGGGCTCAGGAAATACCTTAGTATAAATATATTGATTGAATACACGAATAAACCAAAAAAGAGAAAATGCAGTACTATGGAAGCCTAAAGGAGGGAGCTATTCCCAGCCACTGCTCTGAAGTCAATTCTGACTCATAGCGACCCTATGGAATAAAATAGGACTGCCCCATAGAGTTTTCAAGGCTGTATAATCTTTATAGAAACTTACTGCTACATCTTCGTCCCATGGAGCAGCTGGTGGGTTGAACCACCAATCTTTCCATTATCAGCTGAGCACTTTAACCACTACCCACCACCAGGGTTTTTTAGGGAGATATGAACCCTAGGGAAATTGAAGGAAAATTTATGATTTACAAAGGGGTGTGGTCATTGAGGTAGATGTAAAGGATAAGTAGAATGTAATCAGGAAGAGAATAGGAAAAGGGCATTCTAGGAAAGACAACAATTTCTACGAAAGCATGGGGACACAAAAGATGGAGATGTCAGGGATTGAATATTAAGAGTGTATACTCACTCATTGAGCTGAGAAGGTGTGAAAGGTCTTGACTAGCACACTAGGAGGTTTGAGTTCATCTTATTAATGAAAGAGGACTATGACTCAATGGAGAATTTTAGACCAGGTATGAAATGATCAGCCTCATGCTTTTTGGTAGGGTCTATTTGGTTAGGACTCCTGGTGTGGCACTATGGAATAAAGTGCTGGACCACAAGGTTAATTTGAACCACAAGGTTGGCAGTTCAAATACAACAGCCACTCCTTGGAAACTTTATGCAGGGTTGTTATGAGTTGGAACCAACTTGATGGCACCTACCAACAACCTTTGGTTAAGACTCCTGGTGTGGTGCTCTAGGATCAGCACTGGACTATGAATCACAGGACCAGCAGCTCAAACCCACTAGCTATGCATAGGAAACAGGGTCACTATGAGTAGGTACCGACTCTACGACACTTAACAACAACAGTTTGGTTATGGGGCATCCTGGTGTGGTGCTGTAGGATAAGCACTGGGCTGCTGACTGCAAGGTTGATGGTTCAAACCCACCAACCACTGCTTGGAAACCTTAATTCAGGGGTCAGTATGATCTGTAACTGACACAACTGCACTTAACAAGAACAACATTTGGTTATGGGGTTGATAAATTGGAGGCCATATACTCAAATCTTTGGGCTTGAATCCAGCATCATGCCAAGGGGTCAGGAGCTGTTCAGGAGGTAGATTCTACAAGACTTGGTGACTGACTCCCTATCAGAGAAGGGTATTGGAGATAACCCTGTAAAGTTGCCAGCTTCATTTGTGACCATAAGGGAAGATTGTGAGTTTGGTTTGGATCTGTGTAGTTTGGGGTATCATGGAAGTCCCAGCAAGACCATCTTGCCTTCAGCCAAAAATTCAACTGTGTCGTCTCCTGTGTTTTTGCTTTTCCATTGCTTTTGACTACTCTAGGGGAGGGTTTGCACTTTTGGGGTATTGTGCTGTGATGACTTAGGTAGGACAGATTGGCTGGGAGTACCCTTACCTGGCTAAATCGTTTGGTCCAGTTCTGGCTCTTTGCTAAATTTCCCATTATCTTTGTCAAGGCACTTGAACGAAAGGGTAGTATTTGTATGTGGCACTGTAGGATAAGCACTTGACTGCAAGGTCAGTTTGAATTACAAGGTCGGTGGTTCAAACTTACCAGCCATTTCTTGTAAGCTCTAAAAGGGTCGCTGTGGGACGGAATCAGTCCCATGGCTTTTAACAACAACAACAATACTCAACATAGGAGTCCTGATGTTCCTTTGTAAGACAAGCATTCGACTGCTCCTCGGAAACCCTATAGAGGGTTGCTATGACTTGCATGTAATCACCACCACCATCACCATGATCAGCAGAGGGAGTGAGGAGGCTCTGGAGGGAATGCAAACCACAAGGTTGGTGGTTTGAACTTACCATCCTTTCCATGGGAGAAAGATGAGGCTTCCTGCTCCCACAAAGATTTACAGCCTTGGAAACCATATACAGGATCGCTATAAGTTCGAACCGACTTGATGGCACTTAACAACTATAATCAACAGAATGCACCCTGGTGGTACAGTGGGTTAAGCATTAGGTTACTAACCAAAAGGTGTGATGTGTGACCTACCAGCGGGATGAGGCAGTCTACTTCCATAAAGATTCACACCCTCAGGAACCCTAAAAAGCAGTTCTCCTCTGTCCTATAGTGTTGTTCTATGTCAGAATCAGCTCTAAGGCAGGAGGTTTAGTAGATGATACACAAGGAGACCAGTTTAAGGACTGAGGGAATTTAACAATCCCTACAAAAGGTCAGTTTGAACTGCAAGGTCAGTGGTTTAAACTTACCAGCAGCTCCTCAGAAACCCTATATAGAATTGCTTTGAATTGGAATTGCCTCCACAACACTTAACAACACCAACAATATTGTAAATATGCGTGGTGCTGTAGGATAAGCACTGGACCGCAATGTCAGTTTGAACTGCAAGGTCGGCAGTTCAAACTCACCAGCCACTCCTTGGAAGCCCTATACAGGGTTACTATGAACTGACTGGACAACACTTAACAACAGCCTCGAATGTTGAGGGCATTGGCGGTTCACTGGTAGAATTTTCACCTTCTGTGTGGGAGACCTGAGTTTGATTCCCAGCCACTGCCCCCATGCCCAGCCAATGCCTGTCTGTCATGGAGGCTTGTGTATTACTGTGATGCTGAATAGGCTTCATAGGCTTTAGTGGAGATTCCAGACTAAGAAGGAATCTACTGAGAATCAGCCAATAAAAACCCTGTGAGGAATGGTGCAGGGCAGGCAGCATTTGGTTCTGGGGCTGCCACGAGTTGAGGTCCGACTAGACAACAGCTAGTAACAATTGTCATATGGTCTGCATGCAATATTGTCTTCATTAGTACTGCCTTGTGCTTCCTTTTTTCTTGTGGATGCATCCTATTTTCCCAACAAGATAATGCCTCACAGGGACTGGGATTATAGCACATGCTTTTATGTTTGCCTCAACATCGGAGCACACATACAAGGCACACAGTAGGTATTCATTAAATATTTGATGACTGATAACTATCAAGCTTGCAAAATAAGCAAATAATAACAAACAAACAAACAAAGACTATAATAATAAAACAACCCAAAATTCTCCAAGTAGTCTCTCCTCTCTGATACTTATTTTCCTTATGTTAATGAAAGAATACAATATGATGGAATGTTTCCCTTTCAGAAAGCATAAAGGATGTTATTGGAAGAAAGATAAAAATTGCAGTGAAGAAGAAAGTAAAGTTGGAAGTCAAAGGAGACAAAGTTGAAAACAAAGTCCTGGTAAGGCTTATTGCTTATTTTTATTAAAATGTTGGCAAATGAACGTGTTTTGTTTTGTTTTTACCCTCTTCATTGTTTGATGATGACTTAATTCATATGCAACACTTGTCCTCTTCCTGTGTTTTATATGTTGTTCAAAAGCCTAAGGACCATTTTGTCCTGGATTAATTGGTTGTTCATTGGAAGCTCATACTAGGTTAATTTGAATTGTAGAGATTTTTAAATTGTATTACACAAAGTTGTAATAATCACCTCACCTAAAGTCAATGTTCATATTGTTTGATGTTCAGTGGTGCTGACTTAATCATTTTTGCTGTTGTGGCTGATTGTCAATGACTTTATTTGTAAGGACTTAGGGAGGGGTTTTACAAATCCATCTCATGTCAGTTTAATCATTTAATTACATTTTCTCAAATGTTACCTCTGCATCCGTCTGGGAGTCTGAACCAAACCTTTGGCATTTTATATAGGTTTTTTTGGTGTTTCAGAGCAAAATGACTGTTAGTATGCTCACACTGAACTTGAGGTTCTCTCCAGCTTTTGAGAGGTGGGCTGTGGAGCTGGGAGATTGAACCTTTTGGGGCACAGGGTTCTTAGGGAGTTCTCAATGACTGAGCTGTACCATTGTTACTGTGTGCTCTCAAGTCACTTCCCACTTATAGGGAACCTGAATAGGATTTCTGAGAGCAGCTCTGGTGGGTATAAACTGCTGACTTTGTGGTTATCCTACAATCTTGTGCTTATCCTACAGCGCCACACCAGAGTTATGCCTTTAGACAGGTAAAAATTTTTTGTTGTATTTCAGTGGTGTCTAAGTTGTGATCCTGGTGTGGCACTGTAGGATGAGCACTGGAGAGCTAACCAGAGGATCGCCTAATGAGCCCCTCCTTGGAAATCCTGTGCAGAGTTGCTGTGAGTCGGAATGGACTCAATGGCACTAACCAGTAACAAAGTTGAGATCATCGTTTGAGGCTTGCATGTCACTCTGATGCTGAGCAGGCTTCAGTGGAGCGTTCAGACAAAAATAGACCAGGAAGAAAGGCCTGGCGGTCTACTTCATAAAACCAGCCATTGAAAACCCTCGAGTCACAACAGTCTGATCCCTGACCAGTCATGGGGTGATGGTGCAGGAGCATTGTGCATGAGGTTACCTTGAATTGGGGACCCTCTTGACAGTAGCTATCAACAACAAGGCTGGGATTGTGGCAAACCTAAATGTAAATTTAGGTGGATAAATCTTGTGTTGCAAGAGAATACTCTAATTTTCAAACAGGAAGTGGAATGTGATTTATTGAGCCCTTGTGTGCTTGTCCTCCAGCTTCCACAAGTTTTAGCATTGTCCCAATATTGTTTTATATCTCCCCCACAGTTTCTCCTCCCTGCCCTCCTCTCTCCATCCTGGATTATTTCAAAACAAATCTCAAGCATGTGTCATTGAAAGAGAATATTTTTAATATGTGTTTTCTTCAGTTGCAGTTGCCACGGAATTTGAAGCGCTTTCTGATAGCATCAGTCTTGAGAATCTGTTAAGATATTTAACTCTAGGATGTGTGACTGCCTCTCTAAGGAAGGCCTGTGCTCTTGAAGGAGGACTGTTATTTGTGCACAACCTGTATACACATCGGAGTGGCAAAGGCACTACAGTGGGAAAATTTGAGTAACTTTTGCCTTACAACCAAATGTACTTACATTTATAGTGTATTTAAGGTTATCAATAGTAGGAATGGATACTGCCATCATTCTGGGTTATTTCACTTTGATTTTTAAAAATTATGTTTCTGCGTATGCTGTGGAGCCATAAGATTTGGAGGTGATAATGGATAGAGAAGAAAATTTCTGCAATGTTAGTTCTGTGTTCTATATGTTGTTCAAAAGGTCTGAGGACCGATTTGTTACTTTGCCTTTGCTGTTTCATACGTTTAGTATTTTACTTATGTGGACCCACCTCTGTTGATGTTATGTACCGTTGAGTCAATTCCAACTCATAGTGATCCTGTATAGGGTTTCCAAGGAGCAGCAGGTGAGTTTGAACTGCTGACCTTGCATTTCAAATGGACCTTGCTGTCCAGTGCATATCCTGCAGCGCCACACCAGGACCCCGGACCCAGCTCTGTGTGAACTTAAATAATTGAAGTAGTGTTTGCTACAACAGATGAACAAGTGGTATAATTTGGAGTAGACATTTCTCATCACAGAATAAATCCATGTCAAGACTAAGATTCACAATGGTAAATTTTTCAAAGACAAATTTAAATGCACAAGACAAGAGGACTTAAAATAATTCATGGAAAAAGTTACATTATCTTTTCATTCCATTTTCCAACAAACTCTTTGAAGTCCCTTCATAGATTAAAATTCGGACCATTTCAAAATCATTATGGTTGTCATTTAGTAGTAAGATTTTTGGGCTCTTCTTAACATTGGAAACAGTTAATGCTATAAGCAAAATATAGATGTATTTGAACTGCGGTACTTATCTTCTCAAATCTAGAATCTGGGCAATTTTAGAAGCTTGGTGTAAACTTTTCTTGACTATTACTTACATGGACAAGAATTACTAATAGAAATACTCAAGGTCTCGCTTATTCTGACAGTCTTCAAGTTTGAGCAAGATGATATAAGAATTAACCATTATAAATTGTGGTTTTGGCATTTTTTAATTTGGAGGGATTCAGTTGCTTCATCAAAACATGGGGAAATCTCCTTATAATATGTACTTCTGACTGACTTTGAGATGTCAGTCCTCTCAAATAGGTTCTAAGTGAGTTGTCTTAATATTTCCAGTGTATTTTTTTTTTTTTTTAGAGCGGCTTTGCTTTGTCCTATAGGGTCTCTGTGAGTTAGGATTGACTCAATGCTAGTGAGCAGTGGTGCAATGGTTAAGCACTTGGCTCTTAACCAAAAGGTCAGGGTTCAAACCTACCAGCTGCTTCTTGGGAGAAAGATGTGACAATATGCTTTTGTAAAGATTATGGCCTTGAAATTCCATGTGACAGTTCTATACTGTCCTATAGGGGTTGCTATGAATTGAAATAGATTCAGCATCAGGTTATTTCTTATTCCTTTCCACTGTTGTTGTAGTTGTTTAATGCTGTTGAGTCGATTCCAACTCATAGTGACACTGTATGGGGGTCCTGAGGAGCAGCTAGTGGGTTTGACCTGCTGACTTTGTAGTTTGCAGTCCAGTGCTGATCCTACAGTGCCACACCAGGAATAAATTAGCTCCCTGATAGTTCTCTCTTATAAAGGGAGCTATGTTATATGCTGGAGTCCTTGTGTAGCACTGTGGGTTAATGCACTGTACTGCAAAGTTGGTTTGAACTGTAAGGCCGGTGGTTCAGGCTTACTAGCTGCTTCTTGGAAACCGTATACAGGATCGCTATGGGTCAGAACCAACAAGATGACACTAAACAACAAAAACAATGTTGTATGCTACTTGGCCCCATCTTTTTATGCTTTGAGACTATTCTGTTTCTAGCTTCTGGTGTGGTGCTGTAGGATAAGCAATGGACTGAACCACAGGTCAGCAGTTCAGACCTAACAGTTACTCCTCGGAACCCTGTACAGGGTCACTATGAGTCAGAATCGACTCGACAGCACTTAACAACAATAACAACTTTCCCATTGTCATCATCTTCTTTCTTTTCATCCTCATAAAAAAACCCCCCAAAAGCAAAAAAACCAACACCCCACACCAAACCAGTATCTGTTAGCATCAAGTCTGAGCTCTTTAAGATTTTCAATGACTGAATTTTTATAGCAGATTTCCAGGCCTTCTGAGATGCTTCTGTTGTTGTTGTTATATGTTGTCAAGTGGGTTCTGACTCATGGTGACCCTCTCTAGGGTTTCCAAGGAGCTGGCTGGTGGGTTTGAACCACCAACTGTGGGGTTCAAACTTACTTTGCATCCCAGTGCTTATCCTTCAGTGCTAAACAGCCAAGTTTTTGGTTAACAGCTGAGCTCTTAATCCTGCAATGAACACTGAAGTCTGCATTACCTTGTATGATTCTCACAACAATTTTATGAGGCACTTTTAATAGCTCCATTTTAGAGATGAGGAAATTGAGATTCAAAGAGGCTAAAGTAGTTTGCTTCAGACCATCCAGCTAGTTAGTGACCAAGCTGGGATTTGAACCCAAATCGGTTTCACCTAGAGCCTATGTCTTAACCATCTTCAAAACAAAGAAGAAAACCTTCTTAGGCTCATTGTTCAGTGGTGGCAAACTTTCACCCTATGATTGGGAAGATTTGAACTGTAGAAGGCCCAGTACTCCTTGTCCTTGTTTGATGTGATTGATTGGTTTACACATTCATTTGCTCCACTTTTATTGAATACCTGTGTGCCAGTGCACAATATATACAAGGCAGACAGTCTTTGACTTCATGGGGTCCAGAGCTTGTAGCTACTTGGAGTGATTAATGATAGAAACAGGGCGTGGTTTGAGATACGCTATGCCTGGGATGTGAGAGTATGCAGGAGGAAAGCCTTATTCAGGGATGATTTCCAGAAAGAAAATGTAAGCTGCCACTGGATGGGTCAGAAGTAGTTAGCCGACGGAAGGCAGTGGACAGAGGAAACAGAATGTGCAAAGGCCTGGAGAGAAACATACTAAATACCACAGGAACAAACTATACATGGGGAATGGTCAGGCAGAAAACCCAACTGCTTTCCTTGCAGGCTGGATATCAGGTGAAGGTTGGGGCTGGTTAAACAGGTCTCTTGTTGCCACCTGTTTCTAATGACCGGCACGTGAACTTTATTCATCCTTCTCTAGGGAGGCAGTAGCGCTCAGTGGGTAAGGGCGTGGACTTTGGAATCACACCTGGTTCAAATTGCAGCCCTGCCACTTTTTGTAACAGTTTAGGCCTCACTTGTATTCTCCAATGGACTAGGGGGTCATAATAGTATCTTTTTCAGTTGCTTTGAAAGTTAACTGGGTTATATTCAATCACTTTGAGCACAGTGTCTATTGTTTTGTTGTTAGCTGCCATCTCCTCA